ATGTTAACCACTTCCCGCCCTGCCGCTTTATATAAACGGCCGGACGATGTGAATGAGTAGGTTTCCTATGTACCTCTACATATTCACATAGTGGTGGGGGGGGGGGGGGGATGGGCAATATCTGGAGGCTTCCTTATTGGTAAAGGGGGCTTCTGGTTTCCAATAAACCTCCACCCTCCAACCCCCACAACCATTGGGCCAGGGTTGTGGGGAAGAGGCCCGTGTCCTCATCAGTATGGGGACAAGGTGCTTTGCCAGTGGGGTCTCTCCTCCTGGCAAGGTTCCCATATTGAGAATATGTGGCTTTGAAATGGTTTAGGAGTAAAGAAGGGCACCCCCTCCCTGGCCAGCCAAGCTGCATGCTCAGTCCGGTATGGATATCCAAGGGGACCTCACACATTCTTTTTGTGGGGGGTACCCCCTTAAAATCTGTACCAGACCCATAGGATGAGATTTACTAAAGCCAGAGAATTCAGTCATTCTTGTGTCGGCATTCTCATGTTTATTTCTTTTGTTTGTATTGGTACAACAAAAGAATTGGAGAAACAAAAAGCCAAATCTGACACATTCCATGCAAAACCCCAAAAATGGACCGGACAAAATTATTGACACCTTCTCAAAATTGTAAGTAATAATAGCATTCCAAGCTTCTGGCGCTACTGTGATTTGTAATTAAACTCCCTAAATCAATGAGCAGGAGCTGACCAAATAAAAATCACACCGACAACCAGATAAAATGGTGAAAAAAATGGACTCCACCGTTCTGTTGGGTGTCTCTGTGTGCCACATGGAGCATGGAGGAGAGGAAGAGCAGCAAAGAATTGTCTGAGGACTGGAGAACAAAAATTGTGGAAAAGCATGGACAATCTCAAGGTTACAAGTCCATCTCCAGAGATCTTAATGTTCCTGTGTCCACTGTGCGCAACATTGTCAAGAAGTTTACAGCCCATGGCACTGTAGCTAATCTCCCTGGACGTGGACGAAAGAGAAAAATTGATCAGATTGCAACAAAGGATTGTTGGAATGGTTGATAAAAGAACCTCCATCAACTTCCAGACAAATTCAAGCCGACCTTCAGGCACCGGGGACAACTGTGTCCGCTCACACTATACGTCACCATCTGAATGAAAAGGGATGCTATGGTAGGAGACCCAGGAGGACCCCACTGCTGACACAGAAATATGGGAGGAGACCCAGGAGGACCCCACCGCTGACACAGAAATATGGGAGGAGACCTAGGAGGACCCCACCGCTGACACAGAAATATGGTAGGAGACCCAGGAGGACCCCACTGCTGACACAGAAATATGGGAGGAGACCCAGGAGGACCCCACCGCTGACACAGAAATATGGGAGGAGACCCAGGAGGACCCCACCGCTGACACAGAAATATGGTAGGAGACCCAGGAGGACCCCACCGCTGACACAGAAATATGGTAGAAGACCCAGGAGGACTCCACTGCTGACACAGAAATATGGTAGGAGACCCAGGAGGACCCCACTGCTGACACAGAAATATGGGAGGAGACCCAGGAGGACCCCACCGCTGACACAGAAATATGGTAGGAGACCCAGGAGGACCCCACCGCTGACACAGAAATATGGTAGGAGACCCAGGAGGACCCCACCGCTGACACAGAAATATGGTAGAAGACCCAGGAGGACTCCACTGCTGACACAGAAATATGGTAGGAGACCCAGGAGGACCCCACTGCTGACACAGAAATATGGTAGGAGACCCGGGAGGACCCCACTGCTGACACAGAAATATGGTAGGAGACCCAGGAGGACCCCACTGCTGACACAGAAATATGGTAGGAGACCCAGGAGGACCTCACTGCTGACACAGAAATATGGGAGGAGATCCAGGAGGATCCCACCGCTGACACAGAAATATGGTAGGGGATCCAGGAGAAAACCCCACTTCTGACACAGAAATATGGTAGGGGATCCAGGAGGACCCTACTGCTGACACAGAAATATGGTAGGAGACCCAGGAGGACCCCACTGCTGACACAGAAATATGGTAGGAGACCCAGGAGGACCCCACCGCTGACACAGAAATATGGTAGGAGACCCAGGAGGACCCCACCGTTGACACAGAAATATGGTAGGAGACCCAGGAGGACCCCACCGCTGACACAGAAATATGGTCGGAGACCCAGGAGGACCCCGCCGCTGACGCAGTAATAATATGGTAGGAGACCCAGGAGGACCCCACCGATGACACAGAAATATGGTAGGAGACCTAGGAGGACCCCGCCGCTGACACAGAAACATGGTAGGAGACCCAGGAGGACCCCACCGATGACACAGAAAATATGGTAGGAGACCCAGGAGGACCCCACCGATGACACAGAAATATGGTAGGAGACCTAGGAGGACCCCGCCGCTGACACAGAAACATGGTAGGAGACCCAGGAGGACCCCGCCGCTGACACAGAAATATGGTAGGAGATCCAGGAGGACCCCACTTCTGACACAGAAATATGGTAGGAGATCCAGGAGGACCCTACTGCTGACACAGAAATATGGTAGGAGACCCAGGAGGACCCCACTGCTGACACAGAAATATGGTAGGAGACCCAGGAGGACCCCACGCTGACACAGAAATATGGTAGGAGACCCAGGAGGACCCCACCGTTGACACAGAAATATGGTAGGAGACCCAGGAGGACCCCACCGCTGACACAGAAATATGGTCGGAGACCCAGGAGGACCCCGCCGCTGACGCAGTAATATGGTAGGAGACCCAGGAGGACCCCACCGATGACACAGAAATATGGTAGGAGACCTAGGAGGACCCCGCCGCTGACACAGAAACATGGTAGGAGACCCAGGAGGACCCCACCGATGACACAGAAATATGGTAGGAGACCCAGGAGGACCCCACCGATGACACAGAAATATGGGAGGAGACCTAGGAGGACCCCGCCGCTGACACAGAAACATGGTAGGAGACCCAGGAGGACCCCGCCGCTGACACAGAAAATATGGTAGGAGATCCAGGAGGACCCTACTGCTGACACAGAAATATGGTAGGAGACCCAGGAGGACCCCACTGCTGACACAGAAATATGGTAGGAGACCCAGGAGGACCCCACTGCTGACACAGAAATATGGTAGGAGACCCAGGAGGACCCCACCGTTGACACAGAAATATGGTAGGAGACCCAGGAGGACCCCACCGCTGACACAGAAATATGGTAGGAGACCCAGGAGGACCCCACCGCTGACACAGAAATATGGTAGGAGACCCAGGAGGACCCCCCCGCTGACACAGAAATATGGTAGGAGACCCAGGAGGACCCCACCGCTGACACAGAAATATGGTAGGAGACCCAGGAGGACCCCACTGCTGACACAGAAATATGGTAGGAGACCCAGGAGGACCCCACCGCTGACACAGAAATATGGTAGGAGACCCAGGAGGACCCCACCGATGACACAGAAATATGGTAGGAGACCTAGGAGGACCCCACCGCTGACACAGAAATATGGTAGGAGACCCAGGAGGACCCCACCGTTAACACAGAAATATGGTAGGAGAGACCCAGGAGGACCCCACCGATGACACAGAAATATGGTAGGAGACCCAGGAGGACCCCACCGATGACACAGAAATATGGTAGGAGACCTAGGAGGACCCCGCCGCTGACACAGAAGAAACATGGTAGGAGACCCAGGAGGACCCCGCCGCTGACACAGAAATATGGTAGGAGACCCAGGAGGACCCCACTGCTGACACAGAAATATGGTAGGAGACCCAGGAGGACCCCACCGCTGACACAGAAATATGGTAGGAGACCCAGGAGGACCCCACCGCTGACACAGAAATATGGTAGGAGACCCAGGAGGACCCCACCGCTGACACAGAAATATGGTAGGAGACCCAGGAGGACCCCACTGCTAACACAGAAATATGGTAGGAGACCCAGGAGGACCCCACTGCTGACACAGAAACATATTGGTAGCCAGATTTGAGTTTGCCAAAACTTACCTGAGGAAGCCAAAATCCTTCTGGGAGAATGTGCTGGGGGCAGACGAAACAAAATGGCAGCTTTTTGGTAAAGCCCATCATTCTACTGTTTTCAGAAAAAGCAATGAGGCCTTTAAAGAAAAGAATCCAGTCCCTCCAGTCACACATGGTGGGGGGGTCACTGATGGTTTGGGGTTGCTTTGCTACTGGATATCTTGGCCATGTGCATGGCATTATGAAATATGAAGACTACCAAAGAATTTCTGGTGGTGTCAGAAAGTTGGGTCTCCAGTGTCAGAGGTCATGGGTCTTCCAGCAGGATAATGACCCAAAGCACACGTCAAAAAGCCCCCAGAAATAGTGTCAGACAAAACGCTGGAGAGGACTGAACTGACCAGCAATGAGTCCAGATCTCAATCCCATAGAGCTCCTGTGGAGAGATCTCAGACCAGCAGTTGGGAAAATGAACCCTTCCAATCTGAGAGACCTGGAGCAGTTGGTGAAAGAGGAGCGATCCAAAATTCCAGCAGAGAGGCGGAAGGAACTCATTGATGGTGACAGGAAGCCATTGATTTCAGGTATTTTTTCCAAGGGGGTGTCCTACCAAATATTACATGGAGGGTGCCAACAATTTTGTCCATTTTGGGGGTTTTGCATGGAATGTGTCAGATTTGGCTTTTTGTTTCTCCACTTTTTTGTGTCACCGATACAAACCAAAGAAATAAACATGAAAATGCCGAAACATTTGTCATTGCAACGATTTTCTGGGTGAAGTGGTGCGTTTTCTGACAGAAATGCCGGGGGTAGGGGGCCCCATGAGATGCCCCTGGTACCTTTTTCATAGGCTTTTTTGAGTTTGGGCAAGGACACAGGGGCCCCATGATCCCCTATTGCCCGGGGGCCCCATGAGTTGTCAGTCCGCCCCTGGCCTAGGCTAAGATGATGCCATCGGTCTGCTGCAGGCAGGAGGAAGCATTTCCTCAGTCTCTCCTCCCCCAGTGATCAGACGGCAACTTTGTCACAAGCAGGGGCGGACTGACCATTTGGAAACTCAGGCGCTGCCCGAGGGCCTGGGGTCAGTAGGGGCCCCATGAGATGCCCCTGGTACCTTTTTCATAGGCTTTTTTGAGCTTGGGCAAGGACACAGGGGCCCCATGATCCCCTATTGCCCGGGGGCCCCATGAGTTGTCAGTCCGCCCCTGGTCACAAGGTGAGAGACTGCAGCAGGGGTGATCTGCGTCAGACATTTGTGAACACATCGAAAGAATTGCACAGGCACCAGGATTTAGGTGATTTTGCCATCTCTGAACCAGCATCTCAGTCCTAGAAGTGGATGGTGACCCTGGATGATGCCTGAATAAAGATGGCTCCGTCCTTCTGGAGAGAAAAGCAGATGAAGGCTTGGTCAGGGGGAGCTTTGTGATCTTTGTGAGAGGTAATAAATAGCTGGAAGTGTTACATGGACAACTCATGGGGCCCCAGGTCAATAGGGGATCATGGGGCCCCTGTGTCCTTGCCCAAACTCAAAATAGCCTATGAAAAAGGTACCAGGGGCATCTCATGGGGCCCCCTACTGACCCCGGGCCCTCGGGCAGTGCCCGAGTTTCCAAATGGTCAGTCCGACCCTGGTGCTGAGAAGAATCATGCTGATAGGAGGAGGAGAGAGCAGAGTGACAGTGAAATGAGCTTATCCATCTGCTGCTTCTCTTTTCACTGTCCAGTCACAGACAGGCAGGTGAGGACCAGTAGGTGTTACTGAAACCCAGCGTAGAAAAAAAAAAAAAGAAGCAGGTTTCCTGCCTTGCGGTCAGAGGAGGACTGACAACTCATGGGGCCCCCCGGGCAACAGGGGATCATGGGGCCCCCGTGTCCTTGCCCCACACTCAAACCACACCCAAAAAAGCCTAAAAAAAAGGTACCAGGGGCATCTCATGGGGCCCCCTACTGACCCCAGGCTCTCGGGCAGTGCCCGAGTTCCCAAATGGTCAGTCCACCCCTGATTGCGGTGTTGCAGAGCAGTGTAGTTTCTGGACTGGATGGACATGACTACAAACACCAAAAGCTGGGCGGTAAAAAAGGAAGGATCCACTTGTCGGAATGATTAGGGGGGCGCATCATCAGGATGCATAAAGGGGGGTGGGCGTAATTAGGCTGCCTAGAGACTTCCATGGGTGGAGTTGCGGAATAGAAGGCGCTGGATTAGGTGTTCCCAAAACACGGGGTTACGCAACCAGAGGATTTGACTCAGATGGAAGTTGATAATGATTAACCCCCCCGGGAGGATGGGCTCTGTCCGCTCTGCCCATTGGATGAAATTCCAGGTCAGTGCCCGAGTTTCCAAATGGTCAGTCCGCCCCTGACGGGCACAATGCATAGCATGCATGAACTTATTGTGAGTATGGTGACAGGTCCCCTTTAGGCTGGATAGATCAGTCATGTACAGACCGCGCGTTCACATGTGACTCCGATATCCTGTGCAGGTTTGTGTTGGAATCTGCGGAAGGTCAAGTTCAAACATAATGATTTTTATGGCGTTCTAAGATGTCAGCACTCCTATCCTAGTACAGACACCCCCCCCCAAAAGTGGCCCTGTGCCTGGGGCTCCAGCGCTGTTCTCAGGCCGTGTGGGCCCCAACGGGAGCAGAGGGGAAAGGATTCCTAGCTGGGAGCGGAGCGCTGCCACACACGTCCCAAGTCTCACTGTCACCGGGAGATTCAGCAACATCAATCACTGGTCGATAATTTGTATCTGAGCAAGCCGCAACATGACGGGGAGATATGTGAAACCGCTCACATGAAGACTCCGTGTCCTGAGAAAAGTGATTTAGCAAATATTTTTTAACTGAAAAAAAGAAGTTTACTTCCACGCTGGAATGAGGAGGAGTGCGGACATTGATCCGTGAGAGAGCGCTTTGTTATTATGATGGGTCACTGGATCTTTAATTATGTATATCATGTTCAGAGAAACCGAATGTAACAAGAGAGCGGTGACATCACTGAGAATGCGGCCTATCCGTTCACTAGAGAGCGGTGACATCACTGAGAATGCGGCCTATCCGTTCACTAGAGAGCGGTGACATCACTGAGAATGCGGCCTATCCGTTCACTAGAGAGCGGTGACATCACTGAGAATGCGGCCTATCCATTCACTAGAGAGCGGTGACATCACTGAGAACGTAGCCTATCCATTCACTAGAGAGCGATGACATCACTGAGAATGCGGCCTATCCGTTCACTAGAGAGCGGTGACATCACTGAGAATGCGGCCTATCCGTTCACTAGAGAGCGGTGACATCACTGAGAACGTAGCCTATCCGTTCACTAGAGAGCAGTGACATCACTGAGAATGCATCCTATCCATTCACTAGAGAGCGGTGACATCACTGAGAATGCAGCCTATCCATTCACTAGAGACTGGTGACATCACTGAGAATGCAGCCTATCCGTTCACTAGAGACTGGTGACATCACTGAGAATGCAGCCTATCCATTCACTAGAGACCGGTGACATCACTGAGAATGCGGTCTATCCGTTCACTAGAGAGCGGTGACATCACTGAGAATGCAGCCTATCCCTTCACTAGAGAGCGGTGACATCACTGAGAATGCGGCCTATCCGTTCACTAGAGAGCAGTGACATCACTGAGAATGCGGCCTATCCGTTCACTAGAGAGCGGTGACATCACTGAGAACGTAGCCTATCCGTTCACTAGAGAGCAGTGACATCACTGAGAATGCATCCTATCCATTCACTAGAGAGCGGTGACATCACTGAGAATGCAGCCTATCCGTTCACTAGAGACTGGTGACATCACTGAGAATGCAGCCTATCCATTCACTAGAGACCGGTGACATCACTGAGAATGCAGCCTATCCATTCACTAGAGAGCGGTGACATCATTAAGAATACGGCCTATCCATTCACAAAAGAGCGGCGACATCACTGAAAATGCAGCCTATCCATTCACTAGAAAGCGGTGACATCACTGAGAATGCAAAAAAAACTCTATTTCCTTGGTCTCGGTGACTGTACTCTCCGCTGGTTGGAATCTTGCCCATCTCCCCGCACCTTCGGTGTCACTGACAACTCTACTTCCTCCTCTCCTCCTCCTCTTACTGTCGGGGTCTAATCAGTGTCCTCCACCCCTCTCTGCCAATCCCTCCATTGGCCTCCACTCAGTGTCCTTCAACCCTCTCTGCCAATCCCTCCACTGGCCTCCAATCAGTGTCCTCCACCCCTCTCTGCCAATCCCTCCACTGGCCTCCAATCAGTGTCCTCCACCCCTTTCTGCCAATCCCTCCACTGACCTCCAATCAGTGTCCTCCACCCCTCTCTGCCAATCCCTCCACTGGCCTCCAATCAGTGTCCTCCACCCCTTTCTGCCAATCCCCTCCACTGACCTTCAATCGGTGTCCTCCACCCCTCTCTGCCAATCCCTCCACTGGCCTCCAATCGGTGTCTTCCACCCCTCTCTGCCAATCCCTCCACTGGCCTCCAATCGGTGTCTTCCACCCCTCTCTGCCAATCCCTCCACTGGCCTCCATTCAATGTCCTCCACCCCTCTCTGCCAATCACTCCATTGGCCTCCATTCAGTGTCCTCCACCCCTCTCTGCCAATCCCTCCATTGGCCTCCATTCAGTGTCCTCCACCCCTCTCTGCCAATCCCTCCACTGGCTTCCATTCAGTGTCCTCCACCCCTCTCTGCCAATCCCTCCACTGGCTTCCACTCAGTGTCCTCCACCCCTCTCTGCCAATCCCTCCACTGACCTCCACTCAGTGTCCTCCACCCCTCTCTGCCAATCCCTCCACTGACCTCCACTCAGTGTCCTCCACCCCTCTCTGCCAATCCCTCCACTGGCTTCCACTCAGTGTCCTCCACCCCTCTCTGCCAATCCCTCCACTGGCCTCCACTCGCCCAACGAATAAACAAAACAAAAAACAATAACAACTTACAAAGCCATCCACAACTCTGCCTCCAGCTACATCAACAACCTGGTCTCACAATATCTTCGATCCTCCAAAGACCTTCTGCTCTCTAGTTCCCATGTCACCTCCTCCCATGCTTGCCTCCAGGACTTCTCCCAAGCCTCTCCCATTCTATGGAACTCCCTACCCCAATCTGTCCGGCTGTCTCCTAATCTATCCACCTTTAGACGATTCCCTGAAAACCTTTCTCATTGAAGAAGTCTATCCTGCTTCTACCTAGTAAACTGCCATTTATTTCCTCCATCAATCCATCCCCCCACAGCTATTACCTCTTGTATCATTCAACCCTTCCTCCTAGATTGTAAGCTCCCAGGATCAGGGCCCTCTGTGTCCTCTTATACCAAATTGTATTGTAACTGTCATGTCCGCCTTCGTTTTGTAAAGCGCTGCGCACACTGTTGGCGCTATATAAATCCTGTATAATAATAATAATAGAAGACACTGTAGGGATCTGCTGCCCTCTACTGTCTGTATTTACGATTGTGCTGTGAGTTATTTATGTACATCACTTCCTATCTCTATGGGGCTGGGTTAAAAAAAAAGCCCAAAAAGAGGAAGTGGTGAGATGTATATCTGTCCCTCATCTCCCATGTACAGTACCAGATAGCAAGGTTTGTGTGTGTGAGGAGCTCCGTTCCAGGCTGGTTGGACAACAACCAGCTGGAGCCTCCACTGTGGATGAATCAGCACGGGGGCAGCTTTGGGCAGCAGCATTGTTAACCTAGAATGAGAAGAGCGTTACATGTACTAGCAGATTTAGATACACTAACAAATTACAGCAACAGTGTTTTTCCTTTTTGGATAAAGGTTTTACATAAATTTAAAAAAAAGCTTTCTAGTGTCAGCGATAAATGGTTTGTCTCAACACTCAATGTATTGTATCTGTAATGTCCACCTTCATTTTGTAAAGCGCTGAGCAAACTGTTGGTGCTATATAAATCCTGTATAATTATATAATAATAGAAAACACTGTAGGGATCTGCTGCCCTCTACTGTCTGTATTTGCGATTGTACTGTGAGCTATTTATGTACATCACTTCCTATCTCTATGGGGCTGGGTTAAAAAAAAAACAAAAGGAGGAAGTTGTGAGATGTATATCTGTCCTCATCTCCCATGTACAGTACCAGATAGCTAGGTTTGTGTGTGTGTGAGGAGCTCCGTTCCAGGCTGGTTGGACAACAACCAGCTGGAGACTCCACTGTGGATGAATCAGCACGGGGGC